TTTCTGTCATTTGTGTTTTTAGGGTCATCTGGACAGTCCCTCGCCGCACCTCTGCTGAACCTGTGCTCCAGAAAGAGGTTTGTGTGTGTGTGTGTGTGTGTGTGTGTGCTTTTCCACTCGCCAGTGTTGTTTGCTCAGCGACTCTCTGGTGTTCTCTTCACAGTCTCCAGATGATTAGAGATTCAGGGAATCTGGGAATTGAATCCTCTTTGCTCTGACAGCTACAGTAGATTACAGAATGCTCTTAAAGCGGTGGTGTGGTGATGATAGTTATTAAAGGGGTCATCGGATGCCCATTTTCCACAAGTTTCTATGATTCTTTAGGGTTTTCATGTAAATTTTATAACACACTTTGGTTAAAATTCCTCAATGGTTGTGTAAAACAACACACTTTTTACCTCCTCAAAGACAGCTCTGTTCACTGCGACCCGTTTCGGTGCATATCTCTTTAAATGATAATGAGCAACTGCTTAACCCACCCCTATGGAAGTAATGAATTTGACATAATAAAATAATGTCAAATTCTTTTGAAACAAAAAGCAAGTTGAATTGCACCAATTGAAAAAAAATATATGCATTGCGTTAACCATGTTTGCATTTTAATCCATTGTATTTTTTTAAGGCTGGTATTTTTATGGGCTGAAATTCAACATGGTTCAATATTTAAGCTGTGAATATTTCAATTAAAAACACATTACAAACACATTTTCATAATTAAAAATTCAATAATCCATATTCACCTTTCATATTTCACTTCCAACATTTTCAAACTGTTTAAAAATACAACCTATAATATTCAACAGGCCATTTTCGGTTCATTTTATTTCGCTTCCACAAATTCAGTGGTTCAAATTCGACAGTAAGTTCAACGTTGACATCCAGGAACTGCAGGAAAAGCAGTAGATTGCCGAGCATATTCTCCATCTGCTGTTAGTCGGCTTAGTAGGGATAGCTGTTAGTAGGGATGTTCTTACTCTACAGAGCATTTTATCGGACAACCGTTTGTATAGTACAACATTTCAGTCAGTACACTAGAAGATAGATGGCCTCAGAGCTACCAGACAAGGACTAAAATCACAAACTTCCCATTTTGATTTCATGGGTTTTTTTTATATTTGTTGGGGGGGGATTAATTGAATTTGTGTGCGTCTCTTCCAGGTCAGGCTCGGCTCCTGTTGATCTTAGTATGTTGCAGAGGCAGCTCCTCTCAGGCCACTATGAGAGTCTGGACACCTTTCATTCAGACATGCTGAAGGTGTTCCATTGCGCTGAGGTCAGTTTCACACAGTATTGATGGACTCACACTGTTTAATGTTGTTCTGCACCAGGTCATACCTCATACTGACCATCAAACAAAATTCTGAATAGATTCGATTTTTCATGGCCACACATCCTGTGAATTTTCCTTACAACGTTACCATAGAACAGCACCATGAATTTACTCGAGTGACAGTCCCGGAGCATCCTGAGCTTCAGTGTCTTACAGTATGCCTCACTGGTTTGGCAAGCACATGCTGATTGAAGACCAATATCTGCAGATTGGAGCCAAGCCTAAAATCTGCCTCAGCATAATGTTCAGAAATGCACTGGTAATATCTTATCCTCTCATTATGTTTTGAACCCTTTCAGAAATACTACGGTTGCGAGTCCTCAGTGGGTCGTAACGTAAGGCAGCTGAGGGAAGTGTACCATAGTGCTCATCGGGAGGCCTTAACTCAGATCGGCAGTTTCCTGTGAGTGACAAAAAAAAAAAAACACATCAGCAGCCTCTATCAGGGCATTGCTGTGACCAATCCCAGAGGCATGATGGGCCTTCCAGAAGGCAGACAATGCTCTCCGATACCAAAGACCTGCTGTATATTGCACTCACAGATGCACTGTACAGGTAAAAGTTTTGTCATTTATTCACAAACACACACAGACTGTACTAACGTCCACACAAGTATCAATTCACACAGCTCTGCTGGGAATTATTTTAAAGAAATGACATCAGTTATAAACATCACTATTGGAGATGCACAATATATTGGTACCATATTGGTAATCATCTGACATTAGAGGGGTTTTGAAGTTAACAGTAAAAGTTAGATATACAGTATATTGGACAATATTTAATTGTGCATATCTCATATTTTTTTTTAATTTTAGATTACCTTGGTTGTCATTTAACAGCCAATTAAATTTAATCTTTAAAATATAATCTTTAATCTTTTATAATTTAGTAACATTATTAAATGTAATTTTTGCATTCATTTTAAGATTAATTTAATCTTAAAATGAATGTAAATGTTCATACTGAATATTATAATGCTGTGAATTCACCTGTAGCTTTTAATACAATTTAGAAACTATTTTTTTATTATTATTTCAGATTTAAATTAAATCTTATAGAGTTTGTAATGTTTATCAGCTAGTTAATAGCCATTTATTAGTTTTCAATATTTTAGTTTTTTTTTATTAATTTATAGTAATAAAATAATATTTAGCTTTAAATAGTAAGTTAATAGTAAGTAGTTAATACAACTATAATGTTATAAAGTTATTAGTTTTTATCCAATTACTAGTTTTTTATATTTTATTTTAATTGATAATTATAAAATTAACATTTTTTATTGTATTTGATTTAAGTAATCTAGAATTTTATTTGAGCTTATTTATCAATTAATAATCAATATCCATTAATTAGTTTCAATATTTTATTTTTCATTAAGTTGAAATCAATAAAAAAATAAACATTATTTTTAACGCACCCTAGAAACATGAATATATGTATTGGCTTATCAAATCAACCAGAATTTAATGTCAGCACACCCCATTACTGCAATAAATTATTTTTAGTGGTTTTTTTGTTGTCTTACATTTCAGTAAAAAAATCAAAATATTTATAACAGATCAGTTAAAACAAGACTGAGAAAAGAAATGAAGGCTTGTTAACGTAGAAGATCTCTTTTAATTCCCCCTAATGACAATTTTTTGTTTCTTTTGGCAAACCAAACCATTTTGCTATTGGAAATGTACAGTAACACAAGTTAATATTTCAGTCGGGCTCTAGAGGTGAAGCACTAACTATAAAGCCTTAAAGCAGCACTATGTAACTTTTTTCAACCTTTATAATATTTTTCCAAAACCATGGAGATGGTACATTCATTAACTTACAATAGATTGAATGACAGGTCTGCCATAGCCTGACAGTGTCTGTATCGCTTTTACTGGCGCTATGTAACTTCGGGGTGCGGGTAGGAACCCGAGCACAAAAAGAACTACAAAATTCGACTGCTTTATGGCATACATCACTTCCTCAAATTCCGACGCAAAGGCCAAGGAGCGTTTATGTTGTCATGGCTCCTGTCCGATGCATCAATCTTCCCCCGCCTAGCAAATGTGCGTCAGAAACGCGTGCGCAAAGAGAAATAGAAGAGCGCACACGATCAGTTTACTGTTGGTAATGTGTTGTGTCCGCATCCAATGTAGACTGCATTGCTTTCTTTTGAGGGCGCTTAACACACTCAAGCATCCCCATAGAGCCGGGGCGCGCAACTCGTGCCAGCTCGAGACGTGAAAGTACACTGATTGCTGAGTTTACTAGGGGCTGACACGTGTATTCCCTGGTGTAACCATGGCAGATTTTACAACAGTAGTAGAAGACAATACTGTTTCCCAACTGTAGGGGGATCCCGAGAGCAAAATTTCAAAAGTAACATAATGCTTCTTTAAGGCCACCGCATGGATCAATGCCTTTTATTTCTCCGCACTTCAAGGGTCCTTTAATAATTCCCATTTCACTTGATTTATATTTGCTGTAAGGTGCTCTCGCTCTTACTATTTTTCTCATTCTTTGTCCTCTGCAGGTTAAGAGCACTCCTGGAACTGCCATTTTGTGAGCATGGACACGGCTGATGCTTGACAACATGATTAGTCGAAAGCCCCTCAGCCTTTTTTCTCTCAGGGAAAATAAAGTTAAGCGAAGAAACAGGAGACTGATTCAACAAATCAACATCTGAGACCCCAGATCCTTTCATGTACATGCCGGAAACCATGCAAACAACAGTCGTGGGTGGAAGGAATTAACACACACAGGCAGTTTTAAAATCATTCAACACTACATCAGCATACCTACAAGATGCTGACTGCATACCTACAGCTGACTGAACAGTTTTGAAGGATGTGAGCAGACTTGTGGTCTACAGCCTTTTTAGAGTTTTGTGTTGGAGTTATAACTATAAAGTAAGCAATAATGCATGAAAGGTTTAATAACACAGCCTTAATGTAAGCAAATGTGTATGTTTTTAGACATTTTAGAAAGAAAAAAACTATTATTTTAAAGGGAATTTACTACCACTTTGTGCAGAGCTGTCTTGTGCTAGTGATGTTTTGTAATATATTGATTTGAGGCTGTTAGAAAGGCCGAGTCATGTGCGCATGCGCAACTTACTTTCAGTCATCATCAGTTCAGAGCGGGACTGTACAAGCAAGACTGTGTGTGCAAAGTGCGTCAATGAATAAATGTAAGTTGACTGTTTACCTAGTTTGGTTATCAATACTTGCTAAGGAGCTGTAAAGTCTTGATGTCTTACTTTCATAAAGTGATGCATGTTTAAGAGAGATGAATCCGTTAATCGCGTGAGGTTAAGGGCTCGTCAATGTGCCGTTTATGTTTGATATTACTTGTAATTTATAGTATTGAGATGGCACCCAGTGTTTGATTGTGCATATGTATGTGTGATCGTTTACATTAGTGTATGAAACTCTTTATATTGATATTTATATCGAGTTTAAGGACGTGATCTTTATGATTATCTGACGTTCGTTTAAATTACCTCAGATTCGGTTTCGGTTTTGAATGTTATGCCATTTCTGACCGCTAAGTGGCGGTGTTGTATAATAATATCCTTGAGTATGTGTTATTCCTTTATCTTATTCTAACTTTTACTTGAGAATGGCTTTATTTGAGAAATATGTATCTGTTTATGTAATTATGTTTGTGTAATAATACTCAAGATATTGTTAATATATATATATCTTTATTTTTCTTTGTAGACCACACACGTACACACACGTACGCACAAATACCAGTGATAAGTAAAGCCTGTGTATTGCTGTGTTGTGTACAGCCCAAAGACTGTTAACAAATAAACCTCCTTTGCATGGAACTGATCTGATTCCAGTGTGTTCTGACCGACACCCCATTGAGGAAAGTTAGATCTGAACCATCACCTTATACAGTCCACTTTTTCCAATCCTCCTATCGAACAAATGGTCCTTCGAGCCGGAGCTGGCATTTCTCATGGACAAAGAATCAGTATCAGTATCAATTGATCAGTCAACATGCATCCTGAAGAAGCACATGCACAGATTGTAAGACCAAAACGTCTAGTTCATCCTCCTGCTTACCTCAAAGATTATGATCTTACAACTGTACATCGTAGAGCAGGCAGTCAGCTGATATCGCCTCACACAACACAGCATACACAGTGGCTTGGAGATGCAGCAGTGAACATCTCTTCACCTTCTACCAGAGGTACGAGTCCCATAAGTCAAGACCCATGGGACACAGTCGATGAATGGTCGCCTATAGCTGAGGAAAGGGATCCTTTTATCCAAAGAATGGATAACATAGGGCTGCAACAGCCTAGCGCCACCTACGCTCCAGTGCAGTCAATTAATAGTCCTCAGACTTCTCCATATCATCGGCCATGGGAAGAACATCAGTCCACGCCGTTACCAAGTACATCTTTCCCTGCACAGGATAGACTCCTCCCACATCCTGGAACGGCATCCTACCATCCACACTCCATGGTGACTACATCTTTGCTCCCACCTACCTATGGTAAGCGTTGCCAGACGGCCTACACCACAGCAACATCTCAGGGGTTACAACACCCATGTCCTGCTACAAAAGGTGGCCCTCTACTCAGTTTGAACCAGAAGACTAGTTATCACAGCCTGCCCAAACCAGGAAAGAACAGGGCTGTAGAGCCTCAAAGTGAACCTAGCATGCTAAACCTTCTGGGAACAATGATGGGTGAACTTCAGATTATGAAAGATCAGATCCTGGCTGCCGCACCCACTAGACGACAGATTGATTCAGTCCTGTGTGGTGAACGTGCTAACCATAATTCCTCTCCCTGGAAGCATTCACATAGATCCAATTATCCTCATTATCAGAGAATGGCTCAGTCAATGCCTGGTCTTTATGAGGATACTCCTGTCCCTCACTGGCATTCAAGAACATTATACGAGTCCCCTAGAGAGACCTTGGATTATCCCAAACCACAGGTGCATTATCAGTTCCCGCAAGCCTCTGGGCCAGAGTCAGCACATAGAGCTCCTTATTCCTCTAATGTGAATCCTGCAAGGCAAGAAACCACTTATCGAGGTCCAGTGCCAACCATACCCAACTTCTACAATAAAGACCCCAGCGAGTTTAATCGGTTAAAGATAGCCCTTGAGAACCTTCTACCATCGGATGCCACGGAACTGTTCCGGTACCAAATCCTGTTGGACCATCTGAAGCTAGAGGAAGCTCGTTTGGTGGCAGATTCCTACCTCAATTCACCATTTCCCTACTCAGACACCATGGCTGCTCTGAATGAAAGGTTTGGTCAGCCACACAAGTTGGCACTCAAGAAGATCGCCAAAGTGATGGATTCACCAGATATCCGACGAGGAGATAATGAGGCCTTCGATAATTTTGCTCTGCATATTAGGGCTCTCGTTGGTATGTTGGAGACTCTTGGAGATGAAGGTGAAGCTGAACTTCGATGCGGGTCGCATGTAGAGAGACTGTTGAGTAAGTTACCGGCTGAAATGAGATCAGGATTCCGAAGACAGATGTACCATCGTCCTGGCTCTGTGTATAACCTTCGTGAATTTTCTGAGTGGCTTCAGTATGAGGCCTGGTGCCAAAGCAGTGAAACACAGATCAGTTACAAGAGCCAGAGACCAGAACGCCGGCGAGAACCAAACCCACTGTACGTTCAGCCACCATTCTTCATGGAGCAGATGATACTGCCACAAAGGTCCTCTCAGCACCAGCCAGGTTAAGCCAGTAAAAGTGGAGAAACCTAAAGTTCCTCCGAGAGCCTTTTGTCCATACTGCGATAACGAGGATCATTATCTCAGTCAATGTCCCACCTTTAAGTCCTTCGATAAGCAGAAAATGATTGAATGGATCCAGACCAATCATCGTTGTTGGCGCTGTGGTCGTGCACACCAAGCAGCCCAGTGCACACTCAAAAGCCTTGTAGCATCTGCAAAGGGAAGCACTTACAAATCTTGCATGAGGTCAACACAAAGAGTCCCAGAGAAGGTTCCTGCCTTGTTAGTTCAACCACTGAGACACTGTACTTGGACAGACCCACTGACTGCAGGCGTGTTCTCCTAAAGGTCATCAGGGTCTTGCTGCGCTATGGAGACAAGACACTCGACACCTATGCTGTCATGGATGACGGGTCCGAGCGCACTATTCTTCTTCCTGATGCCGCCCATGAGCTCGGTATACAAGGTCAAGCCGAAAACATAGCCTTGCGGACCATCCGCCAAGATGTGCAGACCATCAGTGGTACCACGGTTACCTTCCACATATCTCCTGCCACTCAACCACAGAAGATCTTTAAGATCAATGCAGCATTCACTGCGAAACGTCTTGGTCTGGCCGATTACTCTTATCCTGTCAGTTTGTTGGAGAAGTACAAGCATCTTAAAGGTCTCCCCCTGCAAGCCTTTGAAAGAGTGAGTCCTTTACTTCTCATCGGAGCCGATAACACCCACCTGATCACACCGATTGCACCTGTCCGAATTGGTCCACCTGGTGGTCCGGCTGCTATAAAGACAAGGCTAGGATGGACACTGCAGGGACCAGCCAAGATCTTGGAGACCAAATTGCAGCCACAGCAATGCCTTTTCCTGTCTCTCACCCCTGCGGAACTAGAACTCAAAAGAGATGTTGAAAGGCTATGGCAACTTGACGTTTTGCCTTTTCGCTGTGAGAAGCAGGTGACAAGGTCTAGGGAGGATCAGCAGGCCATTGACCTCTTGGAGACTAAGACAAGTCGCGTGGAGGTGAATGGAATCTTACGTTACGCAACACCCCTGTTGCGCAGAAAGGATTCACCCTCATTTCGTGCTCCTAAGGAGGCTGTGCTTCCAAGTCTCCGGAGTCTGGAACGACGACTCACCCAAAATCCAGAGAAAGCAGCCGTGTACAATGCTGAGATTGAGAAACTAGAACTGAATGGCGCAGTGACCAAACTCTCAGCTGGTACAAGTACTATGGCGGAGGAGACATGGTATATCCCGCATCACTTAGTCAGTCACAACAGCAAGGACCGCATTGTGTTTAATTGCTCATACCAATATAAGGGACTGAACCTTAATGATTCCTTGATGCCTGGTCCAACTTTGAGCCCTTCTCTGCTAGGTGTTCTTCTTCGCTTCAGGGAGCATTGTGTGGCTATCAGCGGGGATATTCGTGGAATGTTCCACCAAGTTCTACTCCTACCTGAGGACAAGCCCCTTCTGCGCTTTCTCTGGCGGGGCATGAGACGAGACGATTCCCCTGACATCTATGAATGGCAGGTGCTGCCGTTCGGAACCACGTGCAGTCCCTGCTGTGCATCCTTCGCCCTCCAAAGACATGTCTCATCGCACAGCACAGCGGATGAAGATGTGAGACATTCCGTGGAACGCTGTTTTTATGTGGATAACTGTCTGCAGAGCTTCCCATCGGCTCAAGAGGCACGGCAGTTACTAGACAAGCTTCGTAAGCTGCTAGCGTCCGGAGGGTTTGATATCCGTCAATGGGCCAGCAACGTGCAAGAAGTCGTCAGTCACTTGCCACCAGAGGCCAGATCTCCTAAGTTAGAGCTGTGGCTATCACACAATAAAGAAGACCCACGTGAATCCACTTTGGGACTGAATTGGCACTGCGAGTCGGACCACCTAGGATTCAAACATAGACCCGTTACTTACAGTTCTCTGACGATGCGGAACATATATCGTGTGTTAGCAAGCCAGTATGACCCCCTTGGTGTCATTCTTCCTTTCACCACGCGAGCCAAGGTGATTGTTCAACAGCTCTGGATCAAGAACAGGAGCTGGGATGATCCACAACTTCCTGATGATCTTCAGCAGGCATGGAAGGTGTGGGAAGCTGAGCTTCAGTACTTACCTCTTGTAGCACTCCCTAGGTGCTACATTCCATGCAGTATGGACAACTCAGAGGTCACTCGGGAAATCCATATCTTCACAGATGCTTCTGAGAAGGCCTACGGGGCTGTTGCTTACCTTCGTTCAGAAGATCCTTGTGGGAGGATACACCTTTCCTTCCTCCTAGCCCGATCACGTGTTGCCCCACGTAAGCAGTGCTCAATTCCTAGACTGGAGCTGTGTGCTGCTCTAATAGGAGCGCAGTTGGCCAAGCTGGCTGAAAATGAGCTCACCTTGAAGATCCAGAAGGTCACTTTCTGGACAGATTCAACAACTGTCCTCCACTGGTTACATTCCGAATCCTGCCGTTTCAAGGTGTTTGTGGGCACTAGGGTGGCAGAGATTCAAGAATTGACAGACCTTAAAGCATGGCATTACGTTGACTCTGCCAGGAACCCTGCGGATGATCTTACCCGTGTAAGAGCTAAAGGACCTTGCTGAACCCAATCGGTGGACCCAAGGACCAAAATTCCTCCTCCAACAGCAGAGTACTTGGCCAACACCACCAGATATGCACAGCTTTTTGCTTGATGACACTACGGAATTAAAGCGAAGTGCCTTCTGTGGCGTGATCAACTCAGCACCACAGACAGCAGATGGTAGCAAGTTTAGTAGCTGGAAAGACTTGGTCGAAGCTGTAGCACAGGAGTTGCATAGGGCGGCAGGAAAGAGTGGCTCCCCTTCAGCTAGCGATTATCAAGAGGCAGAACTGACTGCGCTGAGACAGGTCAAATGGACAATTTTTGCTGAAGACTACAGCTGTTGAAGAGCGGGAAACCTGTTCATTCTA